TAGATATCAAGTTCCTGGCTGTTAAAAAAAGAGTACAGAGTGGACAGTTATTAATAGAGCATATCGGGACAAACTCCATAGTTGCGGATCCGCTTACTAACGGATTGTCACCGAAAATATTTCATGAGCATACTGCTCGTATGGGTGTCATGTTGTTAAATTATGTACAGTTTTAGTGGGAGTTTGATATTTTAAATGCTCTTATGATATTTTTTGATTATTAATGATTTAAGGATATTTTATGCATAATAAAGTTTGGATTTATTTACACTCTGACTTTGGTATGGTTTAATCTCATAAAAATTTAAGATGAATCAGTTGGAAATAGACATGTTTTGATTATATTACATGAAATTTTCATGCTATATATCCACACCATGATTCATGTCATTTAATTGTATCGATATATGTGACTAATGATGGGTCGAGTTACGAAATTGTAACAAAGGCCGCTTTGATACTATATTGATGTGATTGATGGACCGAATCGGTTACAGATACATTTTAATAATGACTGTAAAGTTGAGCTAATACGGTTAATTGCGAAACATAATTATAAGGTTACACATTAGTCCAAGTGGAAAATTATTGGATCTTTAATTCAACGTTGGACTTATATGTGAATAATTATGGGTTGCAAACTGTCAAATAAGGTTAAATCTAATTAAAGTGATCAAATATAGTTTGAAATTAATGTATCTAATAGGATGTGGATCTTTAATGTGTAGAGATTTAAGGGCTCCTATTTCTATGATGGGTTGAAATAGGGTTCCAAAAGGTAACAGGAATATTACCTATAAATAGGGTTATGGTCCCTAGGTCACATGTATCATTCTATTTGTAGTATTTTCTAGTACCACAAAATATATCTCTTCCCTGATATCCCATCGTCGGAAAAGATAGTAGAGAAAATTAAAGGGCTCTCTCAAGGATTGACGAATACGTGTTGATTTGGAAGGCCACCCCAATATCTTTGGAAATTCATATATCAGTTTGTCGATATGAATCCAGATATACTTCCGCTTTTATATTATAGTTATATTCAAATATCTGATATTGGAATCTTGAAAATCTTACACTGGATACTTTTGTTGCTCTGAAGACAACCATATTAGATCCCCAAAGGATCATCCCAACCAACTGGTCCACTTCTACCTCCGTTTGCAGCTGGATAGGAATCGCTGGTAACACTCGCCACCAAAGAGTGGCACTGAAACACATACGAGCTGAAGTTTGCATTTCTTTTCGGGATTCAAAAAGAGATATTAAGAAGTGCAATAATTCCATTGCAGTACAATTTTATGTTTCTATTTTGACTAGACCAAATTTTGCTTACACTCCTAAGTAACTAAACCTCATGGTTAGAGTATATGTAGAGTATAGCTATGTAGAACTGATTAATGCGTTCAAGTTTCCAATTTCGGCAGATAAAAAGCAATGTTTTCAGAATTGGATCGGACCGGATTGGCCGGTTCGATCGGTCCGACCGCGAACCGGTCATGTCGGCAGGTCCGGTCCAGTATCAGACCCGGAAGGTAATGAAAATCGGGCGACGACCAGACGAACTGTTAAAACCGGGAACCGGCGGTTCTTAAATTTTCAAGCAATATAACCTCAAATTCAAAATAATAGCAAGAATGGAGGCTGCTAGATTCGAACTCGGGTCTTAGAGACCATAATAAGGTATGCTTGCCGCTAAACCACAGCCAAAGGACGAGCTATTGTTGTGTAGAATTGTACTGAACTAAAAAATAAAACAGATTAAATAAAAAAACCCTAGCATTAAGAAAGTGCAGACGACACATTTCATTTCAATTTCACTTCCTCCGTTTCTCTCTTTCAGCTTCTCCAGTTCGCATCTTGATTTTTTTTTAAAAAATTTTTTCTTCATAATCCTTCACATCCAAATATCCACGACAAGATCATCACACTATTATCTGTAGACGAGACTCTAGAGCTTTTCCATCTTGGTAAGTTTAATTTTTGTCTTTTATTGTTTTTCATAGAACAAGTATGTTGGATTATTTCTGTGATGCCGATTGTTTTTTCTTCCATTCCCTAGTACTTAATCTTCATTAACAAACTACTGAGATGCTTCCATGATTAAGGTGATACTATACAAAGTTTTTTTTGATTTCTTCAGGCTTTGAACTTTTGATTTTTGGAAAACTGAACTGTTGTGGAAGCTTGCAATTAACAAGGGCTCTTGGTATTTGTTGATGTCATTGAAATATTATACTCTTTAATATAGAGAAACCGAAATCCTTTGATCTTTTTCACTTGTGCCAACTTCAGTCTTTGACACACAGAGAAACGTAGAGTTTGAATATACAGAGATGTGTAAGACTTGGAAATAATCATGACATTTTTTACCCATTGCCACATATCTAGATACATGTTATTCAAGAAGAAACAACTCGATTTTTGTAAAAGTTGTACTTGTTTATGAGTTATAAATGATAGCCTATTTTACAGTTGATTTTTCCTTCTTCAGTTGAATATAGAAAAATCCACTACTTTTAGGAGTCATTTTCTTCAAATCAATGTTCTTTAATGAATTAGTAGAAATCATTTTAATTGTCAAACCCAAGAAAAATTGCCTATGGTAACTTGTTTGAGCAATTTACGTCTTTGCTAACTTTTCTGTTTCCTTTATTTATTGTTTGTTCAAATAATTTTAATTGCTTTTTTATTTGTTAAAAGCAACTAGGATCATAAGAAATTATATCTCTTTCATTCAAAGTTTAGGAGATTTATTTGGTACTATATTGTATAAAGTTTGGCAGCTTTAGCTTATTTAATTACCGTTGATTATTAATACTCTAAAAGTAAGAAGTGTTATATTGTTTACATTAGTGGTGCAAAAGTGACTAATTGATCTTCTTATATTACGGAAAATTTGTTAATTTTATTTTCTTATTAGTACACTATATTTTACAAATGAACTAATTATGTCCAAATTAACTATGTCAAGGATAATGGAAACCGATACTGGTACTAGTAGTAATTCATAATCTTCGACTATTGGAGCTGTCAATAGTGAACAATCAGCTAGTCAAAATCATAGACAAAAGTTTGATATAGCATGAAATTATTGTTTAGTAGGTATGAATAGTCAAGGAAGAAGCACTTTGACATGTGGGTATTGTTTTAAAGTAATTGCTGGTGGTGGCATTCATCGAATGAAACAACATTTGGCAGGAGAACAAGGCAGCATTATTCCATGTTCAAAGGTTGACCCGGCAGTTAGACATGCTATTTTAGCATCTATGAAGGAGAAGGAGAGAAATCTAAAGAAAAAAAAGGTGATTTTGGGGTGGAAAATCCATTCGGCCACACTACTCATGCATTTGATGGCGATGAAGTATTGGAAATTCCTTCTTCTTTAGCAAATGAGATGGGTTCATCTAGTAAAGGAAAGAGAAAGGTCACTGCATCAACAGGTATACGTGCTCTTTTTAAAGGTGGATGTGATACTTCTCAACCAACCATTAAAACTTGTTTGCAAAGTAAGGAAAAATGGACAAATACGGACGTAGCTATTGCTTTTTGGTTTTATGATGCTTGCATTCCTATAAATGCTGTTAATTCTCCATTTTTTCAAAAAGTTATTGATCAAATAGCATCAATGGGTAATGGTTACAAATGTCCCTCCTATTATTCTTTGAGAGTTAACTTGTTGCGAAATGCCAAGAGAGATGTGAAATTAGTTGTTGATTCTTTTAGAAGTACTTGGGCAGAAACTGGTTGCACTATAATGGGTGATGGATGGAAAGACACTAGACAAAGACTATTGATTAATTTTTTGATTTATTGTCCTAAGGGTATTTCGTTGATTAAATCTGTGGATGCATCTGATATTGTAACAAGTGCAGAAAATTTGTGCAATTTATTTGCTGAAATTGTTGAGATGGTTGGCTCAAATAATGTGGTGCACTTAGTTACTGATAATGCTAGCAATTATAAAGCTGCTGGGTCTTTGTTAAGTGAAAGATATCCGAACATTTGTTGGTCACCGTGTGCTGCACACTGCATCAATTTGATTTTGAAAGACATTGGTGAAATGAATGATGTAAAAGCTATAGTGTCTCTTGCTTCAACGGTGACTGTTTTTTATCTACAATCATAAGTTCACTTTGAATTGGTTAAGAAAACTATAGGGTGGAAAGAAATTATTCGTCTAGGTGAAACTCGATTTGCAACTACCTTTATTGCGTTAAAAAGTTTGCATGATCATAAGGATAGTTTGCAATCTTTGGTTACTTGTGGGGATTACAAAAAATTTCTGAGAATAGAAAAAAAAAAGATGTGAAGCAAATCGTTTTGGATGAAAGGTTTTGGAATAACTGTTTGATCATGATGCGAATAATGGGCCCTATCATTCGTTTATTGCGTATTTGTGACACTGATGAAAGGCCTTCAACGGGTTATGTTTATGAAGGCATGTTTAGAGCAATAAATGGCATCAAAAGGCTGTTTAGAAATAAAGAGAGATTGTACAAGTCTTATATTGACATCATCAATGATAGGTGGGATAGAATGTTGAGAAAAAATCTACATGCTGTCGCTTATTATTTGAATCCTGCTTTTCAATATGAGACTGCCACATTTTGTACACATCCAAAGGTTATAAATGGCTTGTTTGATTACATTGAAACAAAAGTGGATTGGTGCAACCCTGAAAAATTATCGCAAGAGGTTGGAATGTATCGGGAAAGACAAGGAGTTTTGGATGCAAACTTGCTATTCTTACTAGCAAATTTGGTTGGCCAGGTTATTTATATTTTTTGATATTTAAAACTTGTGAATTTATTCTTTATTTGATCTAATATTTTAATATGATTGTGACAGAAAATTGGTGAAGTTATATGGTTGTGATGCTCCGAATTTGCAATAGATTGCAATTAGAATTTTGAGTCAAACAGCTTCTTCTTTTGAGTGTGAACGTAATTGGAGCGTTTTTGAACGCATTCACACTAAAAAAAGGAATCGTTGGAGCACTTACTTGATTAAACAAAGATCACTCCAACCCTTGTTTTCAACCAACCTTCCCAACTTCTGCAACTCTGCCGGGGATCAGATGGAGAACCGGAGAAGACAGCAGGAATTGATTCAGAATATATAGGGAGTCAGGTTTGGACTCTTTGGACAAAGCATAGGAGAGGAGACTGGAAATTGGTGTATAGAGCTTGTACTCTCCAGTAGGAACTTACTTGGGGATTTCAGATGTGTCGTCGGCAATGGCGACAAAGATCGGCTGCGGCAAGAAGGTGGAAACAAAGCGACAGATTTTAGAAATTTAGGGCTGGAGTGGAGTGAAGTCCAGGGTGTCAAATTAGGAATTTGGCTTGGGATAACTAGGGATGGCAATGGGGCGGGGGAAGGATCACCCCCCGTCCCGCCCCCACCCCGTTTTTCTCGCGAGGAAAGAAATCAATTTATCATAAATGTTCATTTACGATAATACAATTGTAAATAACATTAAATAAAATTAAAACAAAGCCATGGTTGTTGGAACTGCTTATAAACGATATCATAGGACATGGAAAGAATTCTTGTTCCATTAGGCTCTCGTATTTACATTTTCATTGAGGCTTTTCACAAACATCTTATATGCACGCAAACAACTATCCTTTGTTTGATTAATTTCGAATTAAAGCTAAACCAAAAATTGTAACAGACTAACAGGATAAAAGGGGGACAAATCAGCAGTGAAATTTAAATACACAGAAAGGTTAAAAAAGTGAAAGCAAAAGTGGCCTGAATAAGAATAATCCACGAGTAAATGAGGGGAAAGAACGAAGAAAAAATAGCAAAATTTGGCAGTGAAATACCTTGAGCCTTTTCTCGTTTGAGGAAGCAGAGAATTAACGGAAAATCTGAGAAGTCGACGGAAAATCAGTGCTTTCCACAGAAATGCTCTTCTAACTTGCTACTAGACCAGAAATTCAGTTCACTTGCGATACCCAACAAAAACAGAGACAGAAACCTAGAACCAGAAACAGAGCCAGACGTCACAGACCCGTTCCCTCCTAATTATAAAAAATTTAAGCGCACAAGGAAAACAAAGACGAAGATATCAGCAAGAAAAAGATGAAGATTTACCTCCGATCACTTGCCGACGAAGATATCAGCTCGATCTGGGATTCTGGGCTGGGTAAAATTTTAGGAGGATTTAGACAGAGAGGATGGGTTTAGTTGAGTAGTTATTAGAACTGAGGGGAATGGGCGGCAATGGCTGCGAAGGAGGGACTGAGGGGATAATAATTAATGAGAGGTTTTGTTATTTTGTATATAGTCGAAGTCCATGACCGTGCCAAGGTAAATCACCAAAACAATATCACAAACAAAACATATGCATAATTAAACTCAGAAAGACAACGATCACATAAATTAAATGAAAAAAACGCATAACATATAACACGATTTTTGAATTTCAGTGTGTGGCTGTGTGAGAGAGAGAGCAACGAGGCTTACAGTTGCGCTAAAAAGAGACGTGCACGATTGCTGCTGCTGGTGCCGAGCCACGCCAACGCAGTGATTTTCAGCTCGGCGATCTGGAAATGAGGAGAGAGAATAGACTGCTCCGGGGTTTCTATTACGAAGAGTGTGTTTGGATTACGCATTATTTTCACCTTATTTGCACACACTGACTTACTTATATTATCAATACATTCTTCAATTACTTTTTTATATTATATACATCACATTAAAAAAGTGTCACAATATTTTTTTATAAAATTATCTCAAATAATTTACTATCCAAACACCCGAGTAAACGAAAAAAAAACCTCATGGACTATATACCTTGTTGCAATTTACCCCCAAAACTATATTTATAGGCACTTTGCCCCCTTTCATGATATTGTTGGACAAATTTACCCTTTTTATCTTAAACATTGTTATTTTTCTTTTTTCCCTATCATTTTCTTTTTAAATTCTTTTTTTTTTCTTTAAGCATTGTTTAAATAAGTATACTAAATTAGTTGAAACTTGTTTATTTCTTAATTTCATATGTCAATATTTATAAAAAAATTCTACGGAGTACAAGATTTTTTTTTTCAAAATGTTGAAGTCAATGTCATTCAAGAAATTGAACTATTCAAATATATAATAACAAAATAGATATGTAGTATCAATAACAAATAAAAAATGAATTATTGTTGTTGTTTAATCTTATCTTTTTGAAATAACAATTGTTATCTTTTCTTTTTTATATGATAAATAATATGTTACTTTTGTTATCAATAGTTGAGTAATTGTGAACTCTTAATTGGTTTATAAGTACTTAAATTGTTGAATTACTAAATTAATACACTTTACAATATAAGCTACATATATTTTGTAATAACAAAGAGTTTATGATAAATTATTAAGAATGAATTTAATAAATAAACAAATTAAAAAGTAGTTTTAAAAATATTAAAAATTTTGATGTAAGTCTTTTCGCAGCGAAGGGAAACATTGGCTAGTTCCACGAGAGAAAGAGAAAAAGAAAAAATAAAAGGAAAAAGAAAAGGGAAAAATGAAAAAGCTAATAGAGAAAAAATAAAAAAATTTAAGATAATAGGGGTAATATTGTCCAACCATATCATTCAAAGGGGCAAAATGCCAATTATTATAGTTTAGGGGTAAACTGCAATTGGATATATAATTTATGAGATTTTTTACATTTAACCCTTTAATATATGAGAGTTAAAAGACAAAAGCCTAAAGGAACTTTGATGGGTTCGTTAGGTGTTGTAACTGGGCTGGTGAAGCTCACACAATACCAATGGCCCACTAGTAAGAGCATGACAAGATCAATCGGCTTGAGTTATCCCTGAAAGAGCACGTGAATTTTTTCAGTAATTTTAGGAGGTCGAGCACTTGAGTTTTTTCTATCTCTTTATTTCTTTCCTTTTTTTTGTCCCCTCCACCCTGAAAGAAGTCATATTTCTCAACACCATCCCCTCATGGGTACTCAATACTCATATGCATAATTAACATAGTACTCTAAGAAACTAGGATTGAGACTGTAGATAAAATAATTATAGATATAAATGACATAATATAAATATTTCAAAAATTGAACGTTTCAATAGTTGAAATAACTATGGTTATCAACTTAAATCTTAACTACGTAACTAGTCGTATTGGACATAATATATTATAAATCACAAACTTGACGAGTAAGGTAGTGTCAAATTTTGAGGCTTTTTTTTAACTATTAACGTTATCTAATGATAAGGATAACCAAATTATAGTATAAATCAAAATTTATTCTTAAAAGTAAGTGCTTTTTTTTATGCACTAATTAATCTTTGTAGAGTTTGAAATCATTAATCTTAATAGATATTAATTTACTATGAAAAGAAAAGATATACACAATATATTAGGAATTAAGTCTATCCAAATGGAGTTACTTATTATTGGCGAGACATGTAATATTCAATCGAAGAGTTTATAGTTGGCGCTTGGTTAATGGAAATTTAAAAATTTGTACTCTAAATTGAAATTTTGGATTTTAAACACTGGCGCCCGCATATTAAAATTTGGATTTTAGGGTGTTGGCGCCTTTTGTTTGATTTGTGAACATTCATTAGTGCATGTATATATAAACAGTTCCAGTTTAACGAAATGCAACAAGATTAAGTACCTTGACACACACAACAATCTATGATACATAAGTATTAAGTACCAATGCTCCTTGTTCCAGTTCATGGATAAACAAATTTGACACAAGTTAACTAAAACGAGTCCAATCAGCAATCTCTTGGTATATATATTTATAGGTATTTTGCCCTTACTATTATCTTAGTACAGCATTTGCAGTTTCACTAATTCATGTAACAACTCAACCCAATTTATATTGGTATTTGCTGTTAGCTCCTTCAGATGATAATAACCTTTGCTGGTTACCTCTCTCAACTGGGCTCATCCCACCTTCCAACGTAGAAGCAACCACGTAATCATCTACCAATTCTTTTATATTACCATGAGAATGGTTCCTGACACATTACTTTTGATGAAAGCATGAAGATCCGAATCCCCATTCAAACACATAAAGAGTTAGAAGCAAATTAATTTAGTTAAGTTATTCCCTTAGAAGTTGTGTCGTTTGATTAGTAGCATTAGTTAGGGTTTTAATAGTCAATTTAATTGTTGAAATATTCAGCCAAAATTTGTCTTCAAGAGGCCAAAACTTAGTTGGTGTTTTAGCCAAATAAGTGATTTCAAATCACATTAGGTTCTCAAATAAGTGATTCCAAATCGCATTAGATTTTCAAGTAAGTGATTCCAAATCACATTAAGTTTTCAAGTTATGTAAGGCTATAAATAACCTAACCACTTAAACGTTTAGAGGAAGTCAGAGTTTATAATAAAATTGTGAGTTTTATTCATTTCTCTCGTCCAAGAGAGCTTTGCTTGAATACTTGAGAGTTTTCTTAAGTTATTCAATTTGAACTTATCAATCAAGTATATACCTTAGTTGTGGCGTTCTTCTACCTTTAACATTGGTTCACTAAATCATTTGATTGTGGGGTTGAGATTCAATTCAAGGTTCGCAATCTAGGGTTTAGAAGGGTCAGTGTTTTTTTCCAAACTCCAATTTGATTTCTTCGTCTAGATCTGAGACTACATGGGATACGAGTTCAAACCTTCAGGTTGGTTCGTATCAGCTTAGTAATCAGAGCTAGTTGATGAATTCAAGTATATCTTGTTCGTGTCAAGTAAGTTTTCCTTGTGTCAGATCTAGTCGTGTAATCCTAGTAAAGTCGTTTAGGTTTTTTTCCTTGTTGTTCTTGTTGTTTCCATCATTATTTGTTGTCTGCATCCCCTAGTTGCTGTTCGTGTGTTTCCTTGCTGCTCAAATATCAATTGTTGGTTGCATCATGTCTTGTGATCTTGTTCTTGAGTCTTGAGTCTTGAAATCGCTTAGAGGGAAAAAAATCATACTGTTCATTAGCACTGTTCACAAATATTGTTCATCACTACTGTTCATGGCACTGTTCACCGAAAAAATTTTTCTAATCGTTGTTTTCTTGGAAATCTGAAGCTTAACCTAGTGTTTCTTGTCAATTGTGTTGTGTCTCGTGTTTCTTGAAGTTAATCCATGGCTAACCATTCTTGTTCTTGGAGATGTTCAAGTTCTTGAAATTTCTTGATAAGATAAGTTGAATTTTGTTGAATTTTTGGAAACTTTCTTGAAGTTTTTGGATGGACAATTAGGGTTTTTTGGATTCTTGAACAAAAGTTTCCAAATCTTGAAAATTATTGCAAAACCCTAGTTCCTATTTCTTGAACAAAGTAGCGGTTGATTCTTGTTTCTTGTTGTGGCTTGAATTCTTCTCCTTCAGTGTTTGATCTAAAATTGAAAAGAAAAGAAAGAAAGAGTTTTTGTGAAAAAAAAAAAGAAACAAGAAGTCGGATCACTTTTGGATTTAAACAAGAAAGAAATCTGATTTGGGAAACCAAGTTGACTTGGGATTGTAAACAAATCCTAGTCATCACATAACTAATCCAATTTAGATTTTGCAAGTTGCTTATGCACAAAAATCACTCCAAAAATCAGCAGCTTATCTTCCAAAATAAATCCAAGAACCAATTGAGTTCAACTTCCAAAATTCCAGCCAAGGGTACAATCGAAGAGAGCAATTCTAGGCTTCCAAATTTCTGCTATTTTATTTCTTACTTAATCGAGTTTTGTAATCTATCCAGCCATTAAACTCGTGTCTTTTGAGTCTTTTTCAACCTATAAATCGTGTCTAAGAGGTCCCAAAAGGAGTCACATCAGTCTTGGATTCCAACTAGTCTTAGTTTCCTAATTTGAGTCGCTAGTCAAAGTCCAAAGTTTTTAAAAATTGAGTCACCTTGTGTGGACAAAATCTGGTTTTTTTTTCAGCATACTTAGTGTCTTATTTTGAATTATTATTCAGTCCATTTCACTCCAAAAATTCCAGCTTTAAATCGCTACCACCTTGTGAGAAAACTTGGTGAAAGTTTGATTGAATCTCATTCAGAAAATTCAGATTTCTTCAAGAGAGGCAATCAAGTAACTTAAGAGATGATTGGTGAGATCAATAGAGTGAACTAAACACTTGAGTGATACACGAGCGTGAGTGCAAACAAGTGAGGGTGTGTTGTGAGAAAATTCTTTTCTTTGCTAGCCATTTTTTGCAGGTCACGTAATCATACCTAGTGGAGTTGCATCTCGCTCATATAATCAAGAATGCTTGGAGAACAAGCCACTTAAGATGAGGGGTTCCAAGCGAACTACTTCCAAATACTCTAACTCCATGCAGTCTAGTTCACAACATGAGTTTCGTTCACTTCGGGAGGAGATGCAATGTTACGTGCTTTGTGTGTATATGAACGATATAAGCGTACTTGTGATGAGTATAAGAAGGAGCAAAGAAGTTTGCGTCG